TAATAATTATTATTATATCAATTAAGAAATAGATAAATTTGCCAATAGCAGCAGCCCAACATTTTCAAATGCATCTCCTATTATTATACTCCATGGGAGAAACGGGAACCTAAATCCATGTTTTCTTTTAAATATCCTTATTGTTTGTACAAAAAAAATCCTTACTATTAATGTTTAATTAAAATGCATGCATATCATCTAAGGGCGTATAGTAATTGAAAATGTTCATAATCAGTGTTAAAAATCATACACAAAAAATTTATATCAAATTTATATTAAAAATAAATAATTAATTTAATACAAAAGAGAGCTGAACATGCATAATGTGTGTTAAAAATTATTCCTAAAAATTTCATTATATTAAAAATAAATAATTTATCTCATACAAAAAATAAGAAAACAGAGTTAGCTCAATATGCACATGGAGAAAAACTTAAAAAAAAATCAAAACACCAAGGAGCTGAACGAACTTACTTAGACTGATGCGCAAAGCTGGAGGCTTAAGAAAGAGAAATGATAGTTGGGTGAGCTAATGATGGAGAGGAGAAGCTAAAAGGCAGAGAGCAGGAGCTGAGGGTGGAGAGAAAACAGCTAAAACAGGATGGTGGGAGCAGCTGAAGGTGGAGGGAGAGGAAGCAGCTGAAGGAAGGGCTATGGGCAGAGCTGAAGCTAACGGCGGAGCTGAAGCTAAGGGAAGGCACGAGACTGATCTTTACTGTGAAAATTGAAAGCAGGCTGTCAAGTGTGGGCGGGTAAAAAGTAGCATAATTATAACGACAGTTAATAGGTAAAACTGTCGTTATGGCAACCTTAATTAATGACAGTCATTAATTCACTGTCGTTACACTTGCCTTTTGTGCCTTTCACGCATAGCTATATATTTATTACTTGCCATAACTTAGTTGACAAACACAAGTTCCCATGCATGTTTTATTTATTATTTAAATACTATTATGTTATTGAATACAAATTTATAATAATATATGTCATTAAATATTATATTTATCTATAGTTAATATTATTAATATTATTTATTTTATAATTAATAAAATTATTATTTATATTAATATTAGTTATTATTTATTACTATTAATTTATTTTCTCATAAATATAAATCATGACAGGTGAGATAACACCTGTTGTGATATACCATTGTTTTATTTTTCTTTATATTATAAAATTGTGTGTGTATTAATATAATTATAATTAATTATTATAATAGATATTAATATTTTTTAATATTATTTATTTTACAAATAATAAAATTATTATTTATATTAATATTAGTTATTTTTTATTACTATTAATTTATTTTTTAATTAGTCAACATATATCACGACAGGTGAGATGAAACCTGTCATGATATATACCTTTTTTTTTCTTTACGTTATAAAATTATGTGTGTGTGTATATATTAATATAATTATAATTAATTATTATAATATATATCTATTGTTAATATTTTTGATACTAATAATATATTACTATTAATATTACTATAAATAAAAATAGTATATATAATATATTTATATCATTTAATATATGATATTAAATTTATCACCCTATTAATATTACTTTTTAAATATATTAATAAATAAATATATTAATACAATAAATCTAAGGGTTTCCAATGACAGATCCCTTTGGATGAAAAGTTGAGGGTTTTCAACGAATATATAGTAATAAATGAATATATAAAATAATTAAAATTATAATATTAATTAATATTATATATATAACATTTTACATGTCTAAAAATGTTGGGGTTTCAAAAAATTAATGACAGGTCTCTTTAGACTTGTCGTTGATATTTATATCTAACGACAGGTCATGCTTAACCTATCGTTAGATATGTAAATTTAAATTTATAATATTATTTCTATTAATAATATTATTTATATTAATAATACTAATAATAATAGAATTAATTATTTGTGAAGACATAGATAACAACGATAGTTGAATTAGGGACTTGTCATGATAATATCATAATATTTACTTTTGATGTTATAACCACATTTACATTTATAACTATGGAGAAAATAGTGTCGTTAAATTTGTATTTTGCACTAGTGGAGGGTTCACACAGGTTCTAAATTCAAATCAAACAAAGGGCAAAATAATATTTTTGCTCTAAAAAAATATTGCAATTGGGTCCCTAAGGCTTGCAGAGCAATTTCAGAATGATTTAGGCCCTCAATGCAATAAAATCTGTTTTTAAAGCCTTTAATGCCATTCCTCCTATATATTATAGTTTGTCACCTTTTGCAGCATCAATTGTGAATTGAAGTCTCTCATTCCACCTCAAAATATTTGGATTTTTTTCTACAAACATCAAATTGATTCAATAGGATGTTTTAATGATAAAAAGAACATACATATATGCATGAATATAAATATTTAGTTATTCAAATTGATTGATCTATCAGATTTAACTAAAAAAATGATACTTTGAGTGGATGAAATAGATATTATCTTGCCTTTCTTATCCATGAATGGGACCTTATAATACTATTTAACACATGAAAGCCACAAGAAAATTGCACCATCAATGATACTATAAGTTTTGAACATAAGATATCAAACAAACCTGATAATAGATGGCTAAGGTCCCTATTATCTATGTATTCATAAATCAATGCCTTTATGTCATTTTCATCACAATACCTAACAAGTGACACCAAGTTCCTATGATGAATAACTGTTAAGAGTTGATCCTACAGCAAGTTAGATCCATCATAAATGAAAAATATTAGTTCGCCACCCAGTTTGCCTAAATTTAAATTCCTTAGATTGAAAATTATAACTTTGATGATGGAAAAAGTAATTTTAACCTCTGACTGAAATTCCTTGTACCCTTGCTTTGATGATAGAGAAAGTAATTTTATTGCAACCTGAGTACCATCTTTTAAAATACCGAGGTAAACTTTCTCGAATCCTCCTTCACCAATAAGAGTTTTGAAACTATTGGTGATATGAAGAACTTGAGAATATGAAAACTCTCGATTCTTATACTTTATGATTTCCATCTTTTGGGATTTGGTAGACCCTGTATCATTACGTCAAATGTTTCGAGGCTTTCAAAAATGAGTAAAAAGATCTTGGCCAAGAGATTAATTGGCTTTTTTGGTCAATAAATTAAATTCATCCAATAATGTGGCATAAAACTAACACAAATGATAGGTTTTCCAAGTTCTCCAGAAACCATACAAGAATTGCGAAACACATCTCTATATGCAACGAACATGTGCAAAGTTTCAAAATGATACCTTTTCGTCTTGTCCTTTTGTGTATCCAAATTATCATCAAAGAAACAAGGACAATTATGATCAAACTTGCAATTGATACAATAAGAGGAATCATAAAGTTGTGTTTTTTGCATGAATCCATTTGACAAAAGTCTGGATTGTTGGCTACACTAGTAAAACATGCATGAACACAAAATATTAGAAAGTTGAGCAAATTCAGAGAAGTGACATGTCTTGCACACTTCATTTTCACTATTGCTGCTAAATTTGGTTAGTCATGAAAGTGCATGTGAACAAAAATACAAGTTAAGGTTAAAGTGGAATTTTTCTTTAAAGTGATTTTTAGAGAAACATTGGTTATTTTAAAATAATTGCAATGTGCACAGCTACCCCAAGACCAAAGGTCAATTAATGACAATATTGACTGTTAACTATAGAAAGAGAATCTAGTTTGATTGACACGTGGAAGCTTAGCTGGAGAAATATTTGGATTATAATATTTTTTTGGAAGATTTCTCACCTTTTTTATTAAGGGAAAACACTACTTTTAAAATGTTATAGGCATAGATCATGGAGATTAGTATAGATTATTGATAGATATTTAGATATATAGTTATTTTTTATTAATATGTTGAAAAAAATATTTATTAAAGACTCAACAACCCATGCGCGGATGAGATCAAAGAAGATATCAAGCATATTCCACACTCACGACACTGATTCTCTTCCTCAATCTTTTTATTCTATATAATTTTATCATTTATGCACGTAAAGGAGTATTAATAAATATCTTTTTTTCAGCATACTAATACTAAATAGCTATATATATAAATATTTATCTATAATCTACACTAAAATCTCTACTATCTATATTTATAACATTTTAAAAGTGAGTATTTTCCTTTATTAAAAAAATATGGCATGGGTGTTGTATCATATATAATGATATATGTACATGCCATGGCTATTTTTTTTTTTTAAAGAGAAAGTTTAGGTAAGTTGGGTCCTAGTGACTCATCAAGCTAGTATATGTTTCAGGTTTAAAGAGTATTTATAGGGGTACCCATAAATCATCCACCAATAAAGTTCTTACATCGGCAACAAGATTCAAACCCACAACTTTGTGAGTTATGAGCTAAATCCTTATCAATTAAAACATTTGTTGATACATACCTTTTTCTTAGTATAGGTGCCATGCAAGGAGTTGTTATATAATTCCAATAAACTAAGGTTGTGGTTAGATGCGTGCATGTAAATTTGAATCAAAATTCCTTGTTTGGACACCTAAATTCATTTTTATCCTAATTCTTTTATATCCATATCCAAATCTATTTTTATACTAATTCCTTCATAATTTGTAACACTCTCTAATCCTGGTTATTTGAAATACTTTCATCTTTATTATGTTAAATTTCTTCATAATCAACTTGAAGTATTAAATTCATGGATTTTAACTTTAGAATTTGAAATTTTTTTAAACTATCGAACAAAATATTTAAATACAGTGATTTTAAATATGATATTTTAATTATAAAATTCAAATCCACCAATCCAAACATTATATTAGAGTATTGATAATTGATATATAATTTATAAGAAGTAAGAACTTTTTATTTTCATCCATCTGGTTTTATTTCTTCCATTCGTCATATTATCTAAGTGAAAATGACAATAAGGACCAAAGTTTTATTTGATTTAGTCTTAAACTAGAATAAAAATAGATTTAGAATTTGATATTGAAGACAAGTAAACCTTAGCTGCAAATTGGCCTTTTCTCTTACAGCCTTAGGAATTGAGCCAGTGAGCTTGTTTCCTTCCACATTACTGCATGATGGTAAAAGGACAATAAGTGAAAGTTTGAGATACATGACTTCATAATTTGAGCACGAAAGGCTATAATGAACTTTATTAGGATCTTACATATATTTTAAATTAGGAAGAGTTGTAAGAAATTATGGTAGTTGTCCAATCAACTCATTATTTGATAAATCCATGTAAACAAGAGGTAAGTGCTAAAAATATCTAACATGTTAAATATAGTTTTGAAGTCAACATAAGAACCTATCTTATGTAACAACTTACGAGGACTCCAATTTTTCCAAACCAGCAAAGGATGAAGTTATTTATCTTGTAAGTTTGCTTGAGCTTAAGTTCCTACATTCAATTTGTGTTTCACAATTAGGTCACCGTTGTAAAATAATTTTCTAAAGGATAGACACACACACACACAAAAGATAATTTATATTTATATACTACAATTTGAGATATATTGCCCAATCAAGTCAAGCTTTTGGATATTTTAGGAATACAAAATCATCTTGTCATACTGTTCATACCTAGTTGTTTTCACCTATATTTAGAAGGACTCACCACACACTTATATAGTTATAATTAATTATCTAATCACACGATGTGGGACTGTTACACATTTAATAGATATATTTTATCCTTATTGAATGATTCAAATATACCTGATTATAAATAAGAGCAGAAATACTAAACTACTTACAATGAAATGATCCTTATATTGTTGTCATTGCTGCAAATCAGACCATCCCATGCAAAGTTAGATGGAACACATGGACTCCCTTGCCAACTGGTTTTAGAGACCCCATAAGTACGTTTGATTTCCATGATGGCATTGACTATGATCATGCAATAGATAGAAACAAACGAAATGAAAAAGAAAAAGCAATTAATATATATATATATATATATATACACCATCTTGTGTATATGTAGGGGAATTAGGTTGAGGGACAAGTTGGTAAATTTCATAGGCATTGAGGATAGGAGGAGAATCTAAATTAGCTGCTGCTGAAACTGTAAAGCTAACATAACCTTTAGGTATATTGTTGGAACGCAAGGTGAGAGGCTTCGAGTATTCAAGAGTGATTTGTTGAGATTGGGAATTTTCATCATCATCAAAAGTGAAATTGATAATCCTCTTGTGGCCAGAAGGAAGCTTTTGAATTTTAGTAAAATGAAGAAACAAATAATATTGTTTCAATGCATCATAACTCCAATTAGCAGTTAAATCATTGGAATTATTATATAGGGGCCTTGATGCAGTGTCTAATATCTCCAATGGCAATTCATAAACAGAATCTTCTAACTTTGATACACTTGTTTTTAAGTGACCATAATGGCCACCATCATCAAACACCCACAATCGGTCGTACATGTCATCCTTGAACCTGCATTATATTCCCAACAACTATTAAGCAAATTATCAATCTCATGTTTAAATAAAGATTTATTAAAAAATGAATTATATTTCAACTTTACTCGAAGGGTTAGTGGGTACTCTGAACTCAAATATTTTATAATAAAAAATATTAAAAAAGTACAATATGGGGCCCACTAATAATGAAGTAACAGGAAGTTAAGGTCAGAAAGATAAGGGAGGGAATCTTTAATATTGAGAGAGAAAATTGATCTATAGTTAAGTTTAGGGTGTTCAATGACCCTTCAAATAAAGTTGAGAAGCAAAAATAACCCTTAACCCTTCTATTTATTATATATAAAAGGACAAATTAAATTTTTAAGTTGGTGTTGAAGAATAGAAAGGAGAAGTTTTAGGATGAACCCGATGCATCACATCATCCATGGTTTATCTAATAAAAATATGACATTCATATGACATTAAATATAAATTGATTATGACATTAAAGATAATTAATAACAGAGTAGAGAGAAATGCAAGAAATAAATAGATAGACATTTTATTATAAAAGTAAAATCATTAAAAATAATGACACATAAGATTTTATTTAATTGAATTGGTCTAATTTTATCAAATGACATGATGTATTGAATCTATATAAAAATATCTCACATAAAAAGGTAGAGTGCCTACCTGGTAGAAGAGAGTGGAAGACCAGAGCCCATATCATACCTTACCTGTAGATATAAGGGAAGAGGAGCAGAATGGAGATCATAGTTCAATGGCCTTAATTAGAAAGCGTTAATGAAAGGTGTACCTTGTCCAATGTTCACCAGACACACTTGTACCTTGTTTACGGTGGCAGCATCTTGCTGCATAATTATTTCATAGTATTTGAAATAAGACGAATTAGGCAATTGAACTGTGTCCCAATAATTGACCCCCAGGTAAAGATCAAACACTGGAAGTTGGTTTATATAGTCATAATTCCTATATGCAAATATGGCTCTCATCAAATATTTCTGCTTCTTCTTTGGATCCTCTTGTTTTGGTTTCAGAGTGTAACAGTTTCTTTCTCCATCTAGAAAACTTCTCAGTGTCATTAGTTGTCGTACTACGGTTGGATTATTGTAGAAGTTAACTTGCGGAGGTAGTTTATAGTTGATTCCACTTTCAATGAACTCTTCATCTGTCTGGTACCACAACCCAGTTACTTCATCTACGTAATCTTTGCTTGCTCCACAATCTATGCTTATGAAACTTGCACCACAAGAAAACAGGAACTTTGGAGCGGAAATTTGCGACAGAATATAATTAAAGTCACAAATGCATTTCAAAATCATTCCAAATTTCATCTCAAATATTTATCCCTAATTTTGGGATGCCAACTTGGGACAACAAATGTAATGACTCTAAATTTTAAATTAAATAAATTTCTCTCCCAATTGATATTTTATTTAATTGTTAAAAATTTTTAGCAAGTAGAGAGTAATAGTTTGTTGAATCTTATACTAGTAATATTCTTGAAAGTCTATAATTTAAATTTTATTAAGTAAAAGTTTGGTTTTATTTTATTTTAAATCAGAGGAAAATTTATTGTTTCCTCTTTTGTAATTTTTTGTGCCCTTTTTTATAATTTTTTTCAATTATTTTTATATCCAGATTTTTCTTCTTTCCTCCGTGTGAAAATAGAGAATTCCTCTTCTCTTTCTTTCTTCCCCAACCGAAATCGTGCTCTCCTTCTCTCCTCATGTCGGTTCCTCTTCTTACCATTGAAGTCCTCCCTTCACCGTCGGTTTCTCCCCTCGCCGTCAACCTTCTCCTCTGCTCGCTGAAGCTGCCGCCGTTAGGAGTGGTGGACGCTGAATGATTTCTTTTCTCTTCCTCGGTTGCTGTCGTGGGAGTTCGGTAGGTGTGTTGATTTCTTGTTCTTCTTTTCTTTCATTGTTGTTGGTTGCTGAGTTGAAATCTTCGAACTCCTTGATTTTTGGGTCAGCCGTTGGGAGTGTTGAGCTGTATGGTGTTTTGGTTCTCATCATTTTTCAGAGTCAGCTCTATCTTGCTTCCTTCTTATACTGTGATTTTGCTGGCTGTGGGTGCAAGGTAGTGATGGAGACTCATGGTTTAGATAAGTTTCATATTGTATCTCTTCTTCCTCTAGTTTTTGGCGTGCTCACCCTTGAAAGGGTATGAGATCTGAACTTTTGCTTCGTTCTTTCTGCTATTTGGCCAAGAATTTAGGGAATGTTGATGAGATTCATAAAATATAAAATTAATTCTTTTCTTATTATTAGGTGCTGACTGGAAGTATGTATTGGGAGTTTTATTTATTCTAGGCTTGAAGATGGAAATTTGCTTGAAACAAATACCTTATATTTATTTATTTAGACATGAGGAAAATTTTAAATGAATGAGTTGCGGTGTGTGGTGCTGTTATAATGAATTTTCTTGATGGTGTTGGATTGTTGGTTTCAAGGCTAAATGGAACACTATTGTATAGATTGATACAATGTTATTATGGGAATTATTTGTGAATGCTTTCAAGATGTTTGTATAAATGATTATGATAAGAGTAATTTGTTGACCCCTTGATATAATTTAATTTGGAATTCATCAACGGAGAAGAAGGAAATTATACTCTAGAAGAAGAGTTTAAGTTGATGTTGAGAAAATTTTAAGAAATTGCATTTGAGCTTGAAAGTGAGATTATCTATTTTATTCAAGGTGCTAGTTCTAAATTTAACTTGGAATGTTCATGGAGTGTTTGTTAAAATGTTTAAGAAAGGAATTGGAGCTGGATTGAGGAAAGTATTAGAGTCTTATTAGGTGCTTATTGTAAATTTAGCCTTGATACACTCAAGGTGTTTGGAAGAAAAAAAATTGGTTAAAAGAAAATTGGCAAAAATGCAAGTTGTTAAATTTTCATATTATTAGTTTTAAAGGAATATGTGTAAATGGTGGCTCAAGTAATTAGATTGGAATCTTGGGGTGTATTTAAGGTAGATAATGTTGAATAATGATTATGGTGCTTCATTAAGAGCTGAAAAGGTATAAAAGGAATAGAGGGTCTTCTATTGCTCTAATTGGGTTATTGATGAGTTACTAAATTGATAATGAAATTGTTGGTTGAGTATATTTAATTGTGATGTTATTTGGGATCAATTTATATGCCACTAATTATTTGAGAAAATTACTTAGCAAGTGAAATTAAAGAATGTAGAGAGAATTTATTGGGATAAAAAGAATTTTATTAGTGTTGAAGGTTAGGTTGTTAAATATTTACTTAATTTAAGAAAAGAATAAAAATAATTTTAGGATTTTTGATTTACTTGTTAGGCAATTAATGGCACTATTGGAATTAAAGTGAGAAATTGAAGTGAACAAATTTAAGAATTCTTGGAGAATTTCTTAGGTGAGTAGGTAGCATCTCAAGTAAATTTCTCATAAAGTGTTTATAAAAATCCTTTAATTTAAGTTTTAATAATATTAGCTCTTTATAAGTTATATGAACATTCTTGTCCATTCTATTTTTGTTTAATAATGTGTTTTATATAGTAATTATGTTATTAATAAAGACATCTTGATTTTACTGATAATTGATGTTATTAATTAGTAATGACTAAAGTTAATACATGACAAATGGTGTTGCTTTTCAAAAACAACTTAATTGCTTTACTTTATGTTTGTTATGCAAATTTTTAATACAACAACTCATGCATGAAGTATATGAAAATGAGTATGTGAATGAAAGATGGCAACTGAATTGTATATTTTGAAAGTGAAAATTTTGAAATTTTTTTTCAACTCCATGCATGCTTGATTTAAATAGAGGGATTGAATTCAGAATGTTGAATGCTAACGGCAGTTTCATTAGCCCTTGGCACATCATAATACACCTAACTAGCAGGATGCTTGTAGGAGGTGATAGCCCCGTATGCATGCCAACGCACGTGAAATGGAGGGATGGATGTTCGTGAGCATCGGACCCATGCTTGTTTCGTGGGCTTAATGCCTGCACTTGTTTCGTGGCTTCTAACCGTGCTTGATTATTTTGTTGCTTTAAGCTGCACTTGCTGGTTATTTATCCTCATGAACTATGTGTTTACGCTTGTTATTTGTTCTAATAAAACCCTCCTAAAATTAAATTAAAAAATAATCATTTTTATATTAATTCTCTAAAATCATTCTACCTAATTTTACCATTACTTGAACTTTTTATATTCTATCAGCAGTACAAATTTTGAATACATTTATTGTTCTATTATCATTGTTTAATTTCACGATTATATTATTGAGGAAACTTGTTCTGTGTTGTTAGTTCAAGTATTTGTCTCAGTATTTCATTAACCTGTTGAATTTTTTTTTTAATTATAACTTTGTTTGGGACGCTACTCACTTGAAAAATTTTCTTTGATATTAGATATTGAAATTAACCCTGCACCTTCTGCTAATCGGAGGGACATAATTGTTTTTCTGAAACCTTGGAAGCATGTGTTAGTTACTTTTGATGTAAATATATTTTGTATTATGAAATGTTAAATTGGCACTCCCACGTATACCGTAGTTAGATCCTAGTCTTAACTTGCTAGTATGAATTTGTTGGATTAGCTGACAGGTTTTATTATTGTTGAAATTTCGGGAGATCCAAATTATAGGGGAGACTTTGTCAAAAATTTTACAAAATATTTAAACTTTACGAATTGAATTATTATTATATATAACTTAGATATCAATACTTTAGCATAACCTCTAGCTAATTAGGATTTATGGAATATGAGTTCACCTCATATTTCATGCTAGTCATACCCTTAGTATCGCGGTGTGACAACAAATTGTGTCATAAAAAATTTGGAATTAATATATTTTCCTTATTATTTAAGCTTCCCTTAGCTTGATTGAATACCACAGGCCATACATATGAGTTGGCTTAAAAAAAAAGGCATGAGAAGCTTGATGCTTGATTCATAATATATCTATATATATATATATATATTGCATGCATGTATCTGCTCCTTCCATTCCCTCAATTCAAAAATATAAAATATTTTTTTGAGATAAAATGTTAAAAAATATAAATCATGTTGGGTCTTTTAAAATATAATTAATGAATTTTTTTTCAAAAAATACTCTTATTAAGGGGTGTAATTAATAAGTTTCTCTAGTTAAAACATCCTATTAAATAAGAATAAATATGGAAAGAGTATATAATTTTAAAGATGACTAACTAATAACTAACTCTTTCAGAGTGCGATTTGATTTAAAAATATTTTACAATATTAAAGGGAGGGAGTATATAATAATTTATTTTTATTATTAGACTAAAAAACAATTTAAATAATCTTTATCTTTGACGTGTAAGGTGATACCCGGAGATGCTGTAACGACACAACATAGGGTCCTAGTCCTTGATGTGTGTATTATGAGTAAAATCCAAAAACGTCGACAAGTAGTAACACCAAGGATTAGGTGGTGGCAATTAAAAGGTAAGAAGCAAGATATTTTCAAGCGAAATCTTTTGGATAAAGGAATTTGGGATTCTCAGGGAAGTGCTAACATTATATGGGAGGATATGGCTAAAAAGATACTGGAGGTTGCAAAAGTAGTTTTGGGAGAATCGAAAGGTTCTGGTCCGAGAGATAAGGAGTCTTGGTGGTGGAATAATAGTGTACAGGACAAAATCAGGTATAAGAAGAACTGTTTTAAAGCCATACATTTGTGTAACAATGAGGAAATTGGGAGAGGTACCGTATGGCTAAGAAGGAAACTAAGAGAGCTGTGGGTGAAGCTCGTTCTAAAGCTTTTGAAGAATTTTATAAGAACCTTGAGACGAAGGAAGGAGAGCAAAATATTTATAAGATTGCCAAGAGTAGGGAAAGAAAATCAAGAGATCTAGAACAGGTAAGGTGTATTAAGGATGAAGAGGGAAGAATTTTAGTTACAGATGATGAAATTAAAAATAGATGGGAGACTTATTTTTCTAAACTTTTCGACGATGGAGAGGATTCATCTAGTAACTTGGAGGATTTAGTAACTGGTGAAGGAGAACAAAATTTGTCATTCTATCGAAAAATACGTGATAAGGAGGTAAAGGAAGCTCTTAAGAAAATGGCAAATGGTAGAGCCAACGGACCTGATTGTATATCTATCGAAGCGTGGAAATGTTTAGGTGAAGAAGGGGTGAGATGGTTAACTAAGTTATTTAATGTGATTTTACGGTCCAAGAAAATGCCTGATGAGTGAAGGAGAAGTACATTAATTCCTATTTATAAAAATAAAGGAGATATTCAGAATTGTACTAACTATAGAGGGATTAAACTCATGAGTCACACAATGAAATTGTGGGAGAAAGTAATTGAGCACAGGTTGAGATTGGAGACAAGTATTTCTGAGAATCAATTTGGTTTTATGCCAGGTAGATCAACTACAGAGGCGATTTATCTACTAAGAGGATTAATGGAAAAGTATCGTTGTAAAGATAAAGATCTACACATGGTTTTTATTGATTTGGAAAAAGCTTATGACCGTATACCAAGAGAAGTGCTTTGGAAAGCGTTGGAAAAAAAGGGAGTACGGATTGCTTATATTAAAGCCATACAAGATATGTATGAGGGGGTAAAAACTAGTATAAGAACGCCTAGTGGTCAAACAAAGGATTTTCCTATAAAGATTGGACTACATCAGGGATCATCTCTGAGTCCTTATTTGTTTAACTTGATTTTAAATGTTTTGACGGAACATATTCAAGAGGAAATCCCGAAATGTATGCTCTTCGCGGATGATATAGTTCTTATAGCAGAGACAAGAGAAGAGGTTAATTGCAAACTTGAGTTATGGAGGAGGACATTGGAGTCGAAAGGTTTTCGTCTGAGTAGAAGTAAGACGGAATATTTATATTGTAAATTTGGTAAAGGACTATTCGAAAATAATTTGGAAGTGAAATTGGGAGATCAAATTATACCTCAAGTGGAAAAGTTTAGATATTTGGGAGCCATTATTCAAAATGATGGCGAAATCAGTGGAGATATTTCACATAGAATTCAAGTTGGTTAATTGGAGAAAAGCTAAAGGAGTTATTTGTGACCGTAAGGTGCCTAATAAACTTAAAGGAAAGTTTTATCGTACTGCTATCAGACCGGCAATGTTATATAGTAGTGAATGTTGGGCTCTAACGGGACAGCAAGAGCATAAAGTTGGAGTAGCAGAGATGAGAATGTTACGATGGATGTGCGGACATACACGTAAAGATAAAATTCGAAATGAGCACATACGCGAAAAAGTGAGGGTGGCATCTATTGAAGAAAAAATGGTAGAAAATCGGTTGAGATGGTTTGGGCATGTACAAAGAAGACCAAGGGAGGCACCAGTGAGAAGAGTGAAACATATAACTTTGAGTCCGATTAAGAGAGATAGAGGAAGGCCTAAGAGAACACTCTTGGAAGTTGTTGAACGTGATCTCTTAATTAATAATATTTCTAAAAGCTTAATAAATGATAGAGCACAATGGCGTCTTGCAATCCATGTAGCCGACCCCACCTAGTGGGATAAAGGCTTGTTGTTGTTGTTGTTTTTATCTTTGACGTAGGTGAGGTGTTTCTAATAACTAACTGACTAAACAAATCTCTCTGTTCACATTGATCATTCTCCATTATCAAGGAAGATTTCATCTCATTAATATTGTTTAGAATTATAAACAGAAAAATATATGTCCAGGATCATATACTCTAATTTAATCAGGTTTGTTTTTAGTCATAGTAACCTTGTTCCATGATTTGTCATCGCTTTTTGTTTGAAACGTTAGTTCCTTCATATATTTTGAAAAACATTCAAACGATCATGAATTAGTCTAAACAATGTTAATTTTGGTTAGATCACTAGATCTAAACAATGTTGATTCTGCCATAAAAAAAGGCATTCACTTTCCACATCAAACTCTGATGGCAATACGCAGAAAGCTCACGGGAGTGATATCCTAGTTACGGACTGGCAAAAAGGGATGGAGACAAAGAAAATTAGTGGGTAAAGCTGTGAGGAATATCATTAGAAGGCAATATTTGGGTCAAGTTTAACAAGTCAATCCAAATAAACTCAAAAAATTTTAGGATTGAATTTGTGAGTTTAGAAGACACAAAAAAAATCCAGGTCAAGCCCAAACTTGAATGGACTTTGCCCGAATATCTAAATTTCATTTTAATTCATGTATTTAGGCCAGCCAAAATAAACCCCGAAATCTCGAAGGATTAGAGTTAGGATTGACTATATGAGTTTTTTTTTTTTTCATATGTTAGGGTATTTTAAACTTGATTTAAATAAGCCTGACTCACTCAAATTGTCAGCTCTAAATATCATTATGAAAATGCTTTCTCAACTTGGTGAAGGAGATGAACTACAAGAACCCAAACAGTGTAGGCAGCAAAGAGAACAAATGAACCTTTAACAAGGTTGGGAGGAGGGACCGATCAGGTCAATGCAAACTAGAGGGGGGGAGAAGATGAATGACGGTCGAGGAATAAGGTGTACTGAGGAAGATAATGCTGCGAGAAATTATTACTTTCGTCCTCTAAAAATTACTATGAAAATAGCCATGTTTCTTTTTAGTTTCTCTCTCATCTATTGCAGGGTTTATTTCAGGAAGTTCCTGAGACTAGATTCTTCAAATAATCATATGTCTGAATTTTTTTTTTAGATTCTGATTTTTTTTAAAATGCACTTTAAACTTTGTATAAAGTGATTTTTAAAAAAATGCTTTTTAAATTTAAAAAAAAAGTCAAAACAAACGGGCCCCTAACCCTATGGCTTTATGCTTTTTCTGATGTCTTTCACTTGTGCACAACGATCATTTTAAGGAAGCGGACTCATTTTCCTTTTTTTAGTTAGACAAAATCTATAATCAAACAATTTTTTCAGGTCAGCATTTTTCTTCTTTGTCATCTAATTATGTGTTTGACAGTGTTAATTAAATCCCCTCAATAAAATTAACACCATTTGGGTCATCTCACGATGATTCTGAGTATTTTTCAAAACACAAAGACTAACAATTTAGATGAAACAAATAAAAGGGATGAAAAACTATACATAAAAATAAATTGTAAGGACTAAAAACAAAATACAGTTAAAATATAAGGACCAGAAATGATATTTAATTTGTTCCCATTATAAAAACACACTTTC